TCTTTGAAAGAATCCCAGGTTACAGTAAGGATCCCGTGTTGTGAAAACACTGTAAACTCTAGTCTTTGAGAACTGCCTTTTGTGTTCCCGGAGGATGAGTAAGCCAGTGACATAGTCTTGTATTATTTTGTGCTTTACAGCTTACCTTGAATACAAAGGAACTCGAGTACTTACTTAATTTGAAAAGGAAAAAAAAAAACAGCCCACTAGGAAAACCCTTTTAACCCATATGTTAACTGATGCCTTTCTTTGGTAGTTAGCTTGTCCTTCTCCCTGTCCCACATCTGAAAGCAGGGTGGCATTTCTCACTTTATTTGTGATCATTTCATTGTGGAATACTTAAGGCAGACTTTGCCCATCACTCTTTATTATGCTGAAGGGGAAGGGTACTCACACTCAACTCCCCTCCTAGAGTTGCTGAGGAAACTGAATAAATTAACCCAGGTCCAGTGCTATGAGTAGTGCCTGTCACCTGGTGAGTTCTCAGGAAACCCACCTGCTGCCACTACTAACCAGGGAATGAGCTCAGCTCAGATCGCAAATCCCCCTTTTTTCCCTGTCATGACGGAAACAATGTAAAGCCTCTGCATGTGTGTCTCAACATGAAGTTGTATAGGGGTCCTTCTCCTTCAGAATGTTTTAGAACCATTAGTTAATTATTTAGGAAAATAGAAAGTTAGCAGCCACACTTCAGGGGCTTGATGTCATGATTATTTCTCAGTGGTTCCAGATGGGATTTTTTAAAAATTGAAATATAAAGCCGTGTATCCCATTTCTTAAAGTTCAGAAAAATCTAGGAGAATATTTATTGGAAGTCAGAAGAGCAGAGCCCTTAATACAGTGGGAGAAATCAAAAGCAAAGGTACATATTCCAACACAATTTGGATTTCTTTAAAATCAGTTCAGTGTTAAGGGTGACCACTTTGGGCAGAGGGCTCATTGTCTTGCTGACATTTACCTGTGTGTATGGTAATGAAGGGCTGACTCAAAGACTGATCAGTGAGCACTAACCGAGCAGTGACCTAAGAATTGAGACATGCAAAATGACATGAACATGTTCAATCAACCACCATCTGTAATAACAGTGATGTGTGGCATTCCTCTGGCCACTGCACTGAAGGATCCAAAGAGCCACGAGAAGCTGTTGTGGGAGGACGGTTAGATAAGCAACAGGTCTTGTTATTGGCCCATAGGAAGAGTCCTGGGCAGGAAGAGTCTCGCTTCCCGCAGCGTAGCCTCAGGAAATCACGGGTGATTCATACAGCTGGACCAGGGCTGTGGACTAGCTGTTTCAGATACCAAGCAGCTCTCTTTATAGTCTCCCCTACATAGTGAATGTATTTAAGTAGAGCTGTAGGGTTAGATGATAAGTTGGCAGGTGGCTGGGAATTGTCACTATTGTGAAGTATTAGATAAGCCTTGTCTCACAGCTGCGTCCTCCTCTGATGTCACTTTTCTATTGTGATAAAATCCGTGTTCCTTTCAAAGATACGGATTTCTAGCAGCTGTGGATAAACTTCCCTGGAAACAAACCTGTCCATAAAAATGTTGAGCCTGTTATAAATTATGAAAATATGAACTATAAGGGAAATACATTTCATGTGCAACTGTTCCCTTACCCTGAATTCCTTGATAGAGTTCCTGTCCCTCTGTTCCCGAAGCCTCCTGGCTGAGCACCGATGGCTAAGGCCAGCTTACCAGATGCCGTATTTACCAATGCTCATCTGAGAAGACCCCCTGCTTCCTTTCAGTTCAGCATCACGACATTTAGGCTCACTTTAATAAGGGAACCCAGAAAAGTCCAAAGTCAGGAAGTTCTTAAACAACCCCCTTTCCTCGATATAAGTCTCGGAAACTCAGCCATGGGGCACTGACAGGCGGGCGCTCATTTACAGCTGGAGGTGGGAAATCACAAGCTGTGGAAGGACAGATTCTAGGAAAATAAATTAGAGTGTGAGTGTGTGTGTGTTTGTGTGTATTGGTTTCAGTGTTTGGGTGTTTGTACATGTCTGAGTGTGTGTTGGTTTGGTTTTGGGTTTTTCTTGAAAAAAGATTACAATAACAAAATTAGGTTTTATAGCTTGTTAACTCTTGGTTCAGAGCTGAGAATTTTTCTTCCTGTTTTCTTTGCATGCATATGTTAACAAAAATATGTGTGGGAATGTACATGCATATGAATATATATACATAAAGTGTGCAAATAATACATATACCTTTATGATGTGGAGAAGTAAGTAAAAAAATTCTAAGACTGGAGGGAAGGATGGTCTTAAAAATTAAGTTTGGCAACAAAAATTACATGAATTCCTAGAAAAGAAAGTAAAAAAAAAAAAACAGTTACTGCATACTAAGCCTTTCTATTGCGTTCCTTTTAAATGGGCAGTCAATACAGCATTAAAATAATTGTTTGTTTATAAATTGTAGCACTGGAGACAGGGAACCCAAGGCCTCATGAAAGCCACATGCTATACTACACAGTGACACCCCAGCCCCAATTCACATATTTAAATCTGGCTTTCATTTTACTATTTTTCTTTTTTTACAAGAGCCCATTTAAAACTGATTAATAAGCCTCCAGATGGAGTTCTCCTTTTTGAGAGAGACTGTGCTATGGGAATCCACACGCTTGCCCTAAAGGCTCAGTCAGATAGTGGGAAACACAATACAGCGTGGATCTGCTAGAGACTTGCACAAGTCTTTGCTGTGGGCCAAGACTGACTAGCCTCTCCTTTACCGCCCTGGGAGGAAGATGCTGCTGTTATCCATGCTTTTAACTACAGAAAAGGAGCCTTACAGAGAATACTAGAATTGCATAGATTCATGGCTTGTATGGCAGGGGGGCACTTCCAGTCTGTGTCCCTCAACACCCCCCCCCCCAGCCTTTATGGATCTCCTTCTCTCTAGAACTCAGTGGATACCTGTTCTCCGGAAGAACTCTGTAGCTGCATGACCAATTTTCTCCCTGTGTTTTGTAAATGGAGTTTCTTGGGCAAGGTTGTTCTAGGACATGGCTTGTGAAAAGCTGAGGGTGGGGATGAATTCCAGGGTAACCTGTGCTCTCTGCTGTCCCACTAGCTCAAAGTTCTGTGCTGTACAGAGCCCTGTCCAACTTCAGGTATGGTGTAAAGTCTCCTCACACCCTGCTTCCTTGGTTGAAATTTGCAAACGTGAACCATAGCGTGAGTGGGCTTGTAGTTGCTGCAGCTGTCTTTTAAAAGTAAATCTAGTGAATTCTTAAATACCTGTTCTATGTGAAACGCTGCAGAGCAGGTACCGCCACCCATCCCATGGAGCACATCCTTATCTTTTTCATAGTCTTACTTTAGAAATCTCATTGCCTCCTCCCCTCCTTCCCCTCCCTGCTCTCACCTTCCTGTTTATAGTGGGAGTATAAGAGCACACATGAGTTGTAAAGACCCGACTAGCTAAGTGGTTTCTCAGAAGTCAGGGCTTAGCTACAGTTTTCTCATTGGAATTTTCTCCAGTTTCAGCCATTGTATGATCCTTGTACTCAAAATCTGGAGTGATGACTTCCATACCAGAAAGAATTCTGAAGGGATTGCAATTGTGGGACCTGCAGTTGGAACTCTGAAACACCACCATCTCATGTCATCCTGTCAGAATAATCAATCACAAATCTTGTCACTGGTGACAGAGTTGGGAGCACAGATAAGCAGACTCTGCCAGCTTAGACAGAGACTGTTCTGAGACCACTGGTCAACATGGGATTTCCCTGGGGCATGCTGTTTGGAAGGTGGGGCTGGGGAACAGACCCTTGGATGACCAGGTTTTTGGCATTTCCTCAGTGTCCTGTGAAGAGAGGAGCATACACATACAGCTTTTCCCTTGAGGCCTTCACAGATTGCTGCATTCTCTCCTGTTTGACTTTAGGATTTTCCCCTGCTGGGACCAGGGCAGCATGCTGGCCTCTGCCTCACTTGCATTTCATTCTTTCTGTGGGATGCCAGTGGGTTTCAGGAATGGTCCCATTCACTTCTCTTTATCTCTGAGGGAGCTATGGTGAGACTTCTTGTATGAAGTCCTTTGTAAGTAACCTTTCCTCCCAAATAACCTAGGATTGCCTCAAATCCAGAGTTAGTTTTAGAGAGTCACTGAGTGACTTTTATTAATCCATTCATTCTTTGCTGATTTAAAATTTTCTTCTTAAAATATAAGTTCACTGTACATTGCAACAGTATTTGCTGATTTTCCTTTTATTAAGCTGACACCATAAGGTATCTCAGTTAACTCCATATATACTCTTTGATTTTTATACTTTTCATTTTTTGAGATGGTTTTATGGAACCCAGGCTGGCCTCAAACTCACTATGTAGCCAAGGATGACCCTGAACTTTTGGCTCTCCTGCCTCTACTCCCAACTGCTGGAATTTCACATGTGTACCACAGATCCCATTTTGGGGCAGTACTATGCTAGGCATCCCACCCAGGGCATCCTTCATGCCAGGCAAGTAGTGAACCAACTGAGCCCCACTCCCAGCCCCGACTGTTGTTACTTTAGTATTGCCTTTCTTCTTCCTTTTACTTTCTCAAACCCAAGGAAATAATTATTCATACATATGTTATTGTTTCCTTTTTGTAGCTTGTAGAAAAATTGAAAGTATTCTACTAATCTACTTTATTACTTTTTATTTTAAATTTTTATTATATTTTTTAATTTCATGTATGTGTGGATATGTGTGGATGTGTGCATGCCATAACCTGCCTGTAGAGGTCAGAGGACAGTTGAGCAAGTCAGTTCTCTTATTCTATTCTGCAGGTCTAGAGCTGGAACTTGCCTCAGCAGGCACTGTTTCACCAAACCTCAATATTCTTATTAAAGCAAATATATTTTTGCACCTATAAAGGATACTTGAATTTTATTTTATATTGTGGAACTGATATAGAAGGCTTTTAATATTTGATTTGGGGAAATTTAAATTTTTAGTTTGAAATACACTAAACAATTTCTAAGCATATATGTCTATTTTTTTTATTTGTAGCTGGTTTTAGAAGAAGTTTCCGTCTTAGCAGAAAAGATAAAAAAACTAACAAGTCTATGTATGAGTGCAGAAAGAGTGACCAGTATGACACAGCGGACGTGCCCACATATGAGGAAGTGACACCATACCGGCGGCAGGCTCATGAGAAATACAGGCTTGTAGTCCTGGTTGGTAAGTGTGTGTTTTGTTTGTAATTTTGAGGAAGTGAGGAAAACACTAAGAACTTAAATTTGAAGCTTATTGTAGTTGAAGGTTTTTTTTTGTTTGTTTGTTTGTTTTTTTTTTTTTTTTTTTTTGGTTTTTCGAGACAGGGTTTCTCTGTGGTTTTGGAGCCTGTCCTGGAAGTAGCTCTTGTAGACCAGGCTGGTCTCGAACTCACAGAGATCGGCCTGCCTCTGCCTCCCAAGTGCTGGGATTAAAGGCGTGTGCCACCACCGCCTGGCTGTAGTTGAAGTTTTCAAGCTAAAATTCCCTACATCTTGAACACCCTGCCTTAGTCTCTGAAGCAAAGTGTTTGGCCTTGTTTCCGTATTGTGATGGCACTTGGAAAACATACCTCAAGAGTGCATGGGTGTACTTGTGGAGCCTGTGTTGGAGACAGATTAGCAAATGCACTGTAACACAAGATGCATCAAGAGCACTGGATATTTATATATTTGTCAATGAATGTTTGAATGTTTGTTAATGAAAATTTGAATATTTGTTAATGATGTTCTTTTCCATTCATTTCAAGGCGGTAACCATGGTGTAAGCTTCCTATAGCAGTAGGTCCATCATAAAGTAAGTTCTAATAGCAGAGTTCCAGGAGGTTTCAAATCATTTACAAGTCAATGGGGGAGCACTGGGTTCAGTCCCCAATACTGTAAAATGTGAGGTTCAGGCAGATCATTTATACCATGGTTAGTTTGACTCGCATTAATCTTCTAGCCAGTGTTTGTCCAGCCTTCACTGTCATAACCCCCCATGACCTTATGTTTGTCTATCCACCTCCCTTACTTGGATTTTCTTTAAATGTGGTCAGAGCTACGTCAGCTTCCAGGACTGAAGCCAACAGTTTTGCAAAACTTTGGGGGTAGAAGAGCATAGTGTCTCTTGTTAATTCTTTCATTGTAAACTGAGCACGACAGTTTGGGGAATGAGCATAAGTGGAAGAGTGGGGAATCTTAGCAAGGTGAGATCCTTTGTGAGTTGTTAACTGAGGCTGATAGTGATTTGGAGGAAGGGATATGGTTTTCTCACACCAAATGGCAGTAGAGTTGATCACTAACCTGGCAGATACTGAAATTATTTGCTTTGCTCAGAAATACATGTAACACACCAGATTCCAGTCCACGCAGCACCCAGAAGTCATGACTAAATCCTTCAGTGCTGAAAGGAGGCTCCTTGAGACCCTTTAGCCCTGCTGTCTCTCCTCTGTTCTAGTAGGCATCTTAGCTACACGCCTCCATTCCCATCAGCTCTCCTCCTCAGCTTTGAGGCGATGCACTGTGATAAAATGGGAAGATCAGTATGGCAGCGCCATTTCTGGTTTTCCTTCCTTCCAGGTGAGCCTTACGGTATCTTGGAGTTATCATGTTGTTGTAGCTTTGGTGTTTCCCTTGGGAAAAGAAGACACTTGGCCATTTTTGTTCTCCTCTAAGCACTGACCATGAAGCCCTCTCTGCAGGGCTGAAGGAGAGTGGATAGTTGAGTGTGTCATTAATCTGTGTGGTAAGCCAGAGAAGAATGAAGAAAGTCAAGGTGTGGTTGATGATTGTGAAAAAGAAATAGCCAACCCCTATCCTCCTTCAGAGGGATAGGAAGCACAGGGAACTTGTACACATGAGACTTGTACATCGATTACACAGTACTCCATAACAGAGTATGCCATCTTGAACTTCCATTTGGAGAGGGTGAACCAACAGGATGATGTCATATCAACGAAGCCAAACATTTGAGATAGTTAGCTAGTAATGATAAAAGGGTCATTTTTGTTCCCAGTCAAGACAGGGCCACAGTGGGGAACCTCATAGCTGCCCCCAGGTAACAAATTATAGTCCTAGTACAGGCACCCCAAAACCCTACATAAAATGACTTCTGCTGTATGCTACATTGGAAATATAAATTAATTTCAAGTGGTTGTATGGCTTTCAGCCTGTGAGAGACAGAGCACCATGGAAGGAGCATTTGGTAGCATGGAAATGCTCATCTCAGCAACAGAGAGGGAAAAGGAGAAGAAAGGAGCCTCTGGGAGCACTCTTAACAAAAATGCCTCAGTTTCCTCATCTGAGATGCAGGGACGTTAAGAGCAGCTACTACTATGGTCTGAGTGAAAAGCTATTCTTATGTATTATATGAAATATATTTAAAATAATCATGAAATGTTCTTGTCTGCTGATTTTGAGCCTCAGCGTTTGAATTGTTGTTAAGGTAGATTATTTAGCAGCTGACCATCTGAAAGAAGAAGTATTTGGGTAATTGATATATGCTTTGGCAATTCTACATTGTTCTGAGTTAACTGTTTCCGTTCATGATTGCATGCTGATGACATATGTCTGTGACTTCTTTGACATGTGTGGCAAGATGCAGTGAGAGAATTGCAGCTTCTTTTACTCTAACCCATGCTGTCAAGTCATGGAGAGTCGTAACCTAAGCCTGGAGAATGTTAGGGAAGCATCACTGGGAGAAACAGAGTAGTTTATCTCACTAGTGTTATGATGTAGTAATCTTAGACGTTGTGTTGAAGACATCAGAATAAACCAAGTTTATTTGAATGGTGTCATTCAAAACTACAGCATCTGAGACCTATGATACTTGGTCAGAAATACTTGATTTTCACTTATTTGGGCAAACATATTATTCCTGGGTCACATTTTAGTTCTTTATACCTCAGTGACGGTTCTGTTAGATTCCTTTCTATGTTTAAAAATATTTCTTAAAAAGTGTTAGACCAAACGCTGGATCATTTAGCACATTGTCCTATACTAGGTACCATATTTCATCTTTAGTAAAACCTGATTTTTTTCAAAAGTAAAGCGATAAAATCAAATGATGTTTGTAGGTTTGTGGGAGGAGAAAAGCTGTGGTGCTAAAAAGCCTCAAAAACCCTTTTTGTGGCTTAAGCAAAAACGAGGGCAAAAATTCATCTTGTGGCTATTCAGACAATTTATGACTTCTTCTGTCTGGTCATTCAGCATAGGTAGGAAAACAGTAATAAATCGCTGTATATTTCACATTTACAATGTGAGCAGTAAATACTGTTTGGTCCTCCTTTTGGCTGAATCATACATGCTGCACGAAGACTGCTATCAAAAGGTGCTTTGACTAAATGGCCATTTGTAAGACTGTGATCATTTCCCACAGAACAACGGCAGTGGCACAGCTCTGTAAACAGAGTAGAAGGAGCACTCAGAACTGACTGAATGCTAGAATTCCCACTGCTTTTGTTGAACTGTGGTTGAAACCTTGTAGGGTCTGCTCTGGAGGAGTGCATATAGCTACTCTAAAACTGAAAGTCACAATCAAATTTATGAGTGTGTGGTGGGCTTAAAATTATAATCCTATGCAGAAGAGACAAATATGTTCTTTATTAGAATCATAGTTGGCTTTTTATGCCTATAGTCTATCTTAAATATTTATACTTGGGATTCATTTCTGGCATAAGATACAGTTCTTTTCATTGAACTGGTTTTTAGTAAGCAGGCACCGTCTGAGTATCAGCGTCTCTAGGTTACAACAGGAGCCTTTGTCCTCAAGCCATCTATATCCCAATGGGCGAAGATAAACCAAAAATCTATTCATGGTAACAAAATGCTAATGACAATGGATATGGCCATTTGTGTCACCACTGGAGGAGGTGAGTGCTACACAGGGAGGTGACATGCAGTGCTGCTTAAGGGAAATTTTGAGGTTGGGACTAGAACAGAATCGATTTGACTGAGATCATGTTATCCCCAATGAAAGGTCACCTTCAAAAGAGTTAGGAGGGAAGGGAGTCACCATTACCTGTACCCTTTGCTTTGCTAAGGAAAATGGCTGTGGTTGGATTTTGACCTTTCAGTTATATTGTTTTCTTCTCACAGCTGCCATGGAAGGGGGACAAGAACTTAAGTGTGTCTGCACATCTGCTCTAACCGACGTCTGTCAGCACACTTTCTCTTCTCCTCCGTTTTCGTCTCCTGTTTTGGCATTTGTTTTATGGACTGCTGCCTCATTAAGAACACTCTTCTTTCATGAAAGTGACAGAGAAAATGAGCTCTGACTTGATTCATCATAAATGTAGCTCAACTTTTGTAGAGTTTGATTTGTCATTCTCAAACACAGAGCTGCAGCCACCCACTAACATGATCACCTTGTGGACAGTGATCAAATGTAATAGCATGACTGTTTTTGTTTTATGCCTAGAGCAATAAAAGAGCATTGCTACAATATGATAAGTAGACACTTTATAGCGTGTGTCTGATCTGAGAGATACCTAGGGGGTTGATTGAATTTATCTTGCAGTAAATCAAACAAATGAGCATTTTTTTTCAGGTAGCAGTGCAGATTGGGTCGCTATGGCAGACTCCAATAATTCTGGTATTTTCCTCTGGATAATAAAGAGTAACAAGTCTGGCCAAGTACGATAAAAATGTCTGTAGGGAAATGCGGAAGAATTTCTTGTGTGAAGCAGTGTAAGTACTCTGGGGTTGAATACATAATAGAAGCCATATTCATGTCAGTAACTCTCTGTGTAATAGACTGTTTCTGACTTGTGCCAAGATGTACAAAGAGCAGGAGAAAACATAAATAGTACTTGGTCAGAGCCACGCATGTCCTTCCAATATTCCACTTAATATTGGGCATAAATCCAAATATTAAAAAAGAAGTATGGATAAACAAAAAGGATTTTGTCACTAATGTGTTACTGCAATGTTTACATGTATAGTTTGTCCATCCCTGTTTATTTATCATTGCATGTTTACTTGATTTGCTAATATATTATTAATATAAGTCTTTCATGTGTAAGGTACTGTCTATATTTAAATTATTAAATTGAATTTGATATTCATCAGCCTTAAGAAACACTATACACAAGGGCTAGGGGTTGCTCAGTGGAAAAAGCACTTGCTAAGATTGAGAACTGAAGTTTGGATCCCCAGCACCCATTAAAATCTGAGTGGACTTGGTGGCCCTCCTATAACCTAGCACTT